TAGGGAATAAATGCTTACAGGATAGGGTGATATGATAGTAGTAAGCAGCAGGTGCTTTGGGGGAACATGAAAGAGGGCCGTTTAACCCAAATTAGGGAGTCAGGAAACACTTTCCTGAGGAGAATTTTTCTAATTCTTTGCATTCAGGTGAAACTTCCAAATCACAATTTCAGAGCTTGGCTGTTTGCACACTGAGTCAAAGTAGTGGTAAGTTAAGCTTGAGGCCATATATGCCTGCTAACCAGACGGCTTCAGATCTCTGATTGTGCATTGTGAAGCTTTATCAGAGAGAACTGGTAAGTCCCTGAAGTGTTCATTGAGAAACTGAACGTCCCTGAGGTGTTCGTTGAGAAACTGAGTAAACCTATGTGACCTTTATGGTTTTTTTTTTTTTGCGTTATGCGGGCCTCTCACTCTTCTGGCCTCTCCCATTGCGGAGCACAGGCTCCGGACGCGCAGGCTCAGCGGCCATGGCTCACGGGCCTAGCCGCTCCGCGGCATGTGGGATCTTCCTGGACCAGGGCACGAACCCATGTCCCCTGCATTGGCAGGCGGACTCTCAACCACTGCGCCACCAGGGAAACCCTGTGACCTTTATGTTTAAAAAAAATAAACAATACAGGTACATGGTAAAAAAAAATTTTTTTAAGTGCAAAACCGTATACAGTGTATATTCAGTGAGAGGTCTTCCTTTCGCCTGACCTCCTTTGTGCTCCCTCACTGCTTCCTCTTAGGGACGGCAATACCAGTTTTTGGCATGTCCTTTGGATATCGTCTGTACATGTATGTGTGTATTCTCTCTCTCTCTCTCTCTCTCTCTCTCTCTTTTTTGCTACATAAATGATAGCATGCTGTTCTATAAACTGGGTTTTTAACTTCACAGTATATCTTGGAGATTGTTTCCTATTAATCCATATAGATCTGCCTTATTTATGGCATTCCATCCTATAAATGTACTAGGTTGTTTCAGTCTTTTTACACTACAAACAGTGCTGTGGGAAATATTCTTGCACATACTTCCTGTGGGACTGTTTCTTTAGTATGCATTCTTAGAAATGGAATTGCTGTGTCAAAGGATATGTAGGCTTTTGACATTTAGACAGAAAATGTAATTAGCATTCTTATCTTGTAAAATAGTCTTATAACTTTTGATAAGGAATCAGATAAAATAGTTATTACATTGAACCATGAGTGCCATTTTTTTCCTGCTGTCGATTGCTGTTCGAGAGGAGGAAACTTACTGGCTTTAAGGAAAGGTGACACTTAGTGGTTGGCGGTGAGCTAGAATATCAAAGCAGTGTTAATCATAGTTATCAGAGTACTGCTGGGTTGATTCTTGTTGCTTGTATCTCCACTTGATCTTTTTCTTTGTTTTAAATTTTCTTTTTATTTATTTATTTTTGGCTGCATTGGGTCTTTGTTGCTGCGTGTGGGCTTTCTTTAGTTGTGGCAAGCAGGGGCTACTCTTCGTTGCTGTGTGCGGGCTTATTGTGGTGGCTTCTCCTGTTGCGGAGCATGGGCTCTAGGCGCGCGGGCTTCAGTAGTTGTGGCACTCAAGCTCAGTAGCTGTGGCTCGAGGGCTCAAGAGTGCAGGCTCAGTAGTTGTGGCGCACGGGCTTAGCTGCTCCGTAGCATGTGGGATCTTCCCGGACCAGGGCTCGAACCCGTGTCCCCTGCACTGGCAGGCGGATTCTTAACCACTGCTCCACCGGGTCAGCCCGATCTTTTTCTTAATGTAATTAAATGACTGAAATGACCTGGTGGTATGGTCCTAGAGAGCAAAACTGTCTTACTCTTAACTTACTGCTTCCTTATGGGTGTTAAATTTTCATGGAGACTTAAATACTGTGCAGCACACCAAGCATACTGACCCTCTGTTCCCTGCCCTAGTTATATTCTCTAGACACTATAAACAGTGGAGTTTATAGTTTGTTGACTCAATGTTTTGATGAGAAAGTTGGAATCTAGGGAATTCCCTGGCGGTCCAGTGGTTAGGACTTGGTGCTTTCAGTGCCGGGGCCCTGGTTTGATCACTGGTCAGGGAACTAAGATCCTGCAAGCCGAGAGGTGCTGCCAAAAAAAAAAAAATGTTGGAATCTAGAATCATTTCCTCTCTTGGAATAATATATTTCTGAGACTTCACAGAGAAAACCAGACTTCTTGTATTTTATTGGCTCTGTAAGTAATTATGGGAGTAATCACTTAAAATACTAATAGTAATTATTAAAAATTTTATCTTGAGATATTTCTGTTTAAAATTATTTAACACCTTTTCACATTTCAGACTTGGGGAAAAACACACTACTATCTCAATTTGTTTTTTTTTTTTTAAAGAAATTATTTATTTATTTATTTATGGCTGCGTTGGGTCTTCATTGCTGCACGCGGGCGTTCTCTAGTTGTGGCGAGCGGGGGCTACACTTTGTTGCACCGCGCAGGCTTCTCATTGTGGTGGCATCTCTTGTTGTGGAGCACGGGCTCTAGGCGCGCGGGCTTCAGTAGTTGTGGCATGTGGGCTCAGTAGTTGTGGCTCGCGGGCTCTAGAGTACGGGCTCATTAGTTGTGGCACATGGGCTTAGATGCTCTGCGGCACGTGGGATCTTCCCAGACCAGGGCTCGAAACCCGTGTCCCCTGCATTGGCAGGAGGATTCTTAACCACTGTGCCACCAGGGAAGTCCTGCTTTTTAAATATAAGTTTTAAAGGCCTGTTTTGGATAGGAATCTTACTCACATGTGTTAAACACTTCTGTGCCTTCTGAAATAGGATATCAGTCATCAGTACAAAAGTAATCTAATTGAATCGGTTCTTCGTGAGTAGGGCTGCAATTAGAAACTTGAGTTATTCTTAATAATAATATAATGTTAGTATTCTTTTAAAAAATAACCACTGTTAATGCTTTTTTGCACTTCTTCCTATTTTAATTAATTAATTTATTTATTGGCTGCAATGTGCAGCTTACAGGATCTCAGTTCCCCAACCAGGGGTTGAACCCAGGCTACAGCAGTGAAAGCCTAGGATCCTAACCACTACGCCACCAGAGAACTCCCAATAATAATATTCTTTTTTTTGGTGGGGACCGGGGGAGGATGGTGCTCTGTGTGGCTTGTGGGATCTTAGTTCCCTGACCAGGGATCGAACTTGCACCCTTGGCAGTGAAAGCATGGAGTCCTAACCATTGGACCACCAGGGAATTCCCAATAATATATATATATATATATATTTTTAAAAATATTTATTTATTTATTTGGCTATGCCGGGTCTTAGTTGCAGCATGTGGGATCTTCATTGCAGCATGTGGGATCTTTTAGTTGCGGCATGCGAGATCTAGTTCCCTGACCAGGGATCGAACACAGGCCCCCTGCGTTGGGAGCGTGTAGTCTTAACCATTGGACCACCAGGGAAGTCCTCCCAGTAATATTCTTCATAATAATGTTCTCAGAGCTGATTGAAGTATAAGGAAGTTGCCTCATATCAAATAGCCCAAGACTTTCCCTGTAAGAGCCATAGTCCCAGATCTGATTTGTGGTTTCCAGTTTATTGTGTGTTATCCTGGCTTCTTAGAATTATATGTAAAATAAAAGTAAAAAGGCTCTGAGTGGGGCCTAGGAGCTGTGCTGTGATTGGAATCCAAGTGGCACCACTACTGAGTGGTTGGATGTGTAAATCCCATTTAGGTGAGGTGCTATTGTAACTGGCTGAAAGAGGGGTTGGATTTAGTCAGTAGTTTTGGGATCTGTTGGCGAAACCATCTGGTGGCTCAAACTCTGATAGGAAGGACGTTACTATTGTTCATTATAACAAGATACTTGATATTGGTGACTATAGACATGAAAGATTATGTTTTCCAAATTAGCAAGTGGTGATATGTTTTACATTCCAGAAGATAGATGAAGCCTAAAACCGCCTTCAGGTCTTCATTCTTTAATTTTGCAAAATATGTATAGAATATGTCGATAGACTATCAAAGAAAGTAGAGCACTGTTCAAATAGGGGCAATAAAGGTACAATAGTGGGAAAAGACTATTTAATTAGTAAAAGTTAGCTAAGGGGAGGCTTCATCACTTTTTCAGTAGGATAGTTGTTATTGGAATCTAAGGCGGGGGCAGTTAACAATTAATACTGCTTACCTTTCCCTTTCTAAATTTGGAATCAACTGAGAAATAGAGTCCTTAATCAGTAGATCAAAATCAGCCTTATTGGTGGGGTTGACTGGAGAATATGCCATAGATCTGTGGCCCAATGGGCTTACTAATACCCCCTGCCCCCCAGTTAAACTTAACCCAATAGGATGCTGGACATCTGGGATACCCCCTTACCCCAGCCCCGCCTCAGGCTGCTTATTGCTGAGGGAGAGAAGTGCAGGCATGCTGCCTTGTCCTCCTGGTGCCTCAGCTCTCATTAGTTTCTTCTCCCAGTTGTTGAAGTGTTGGGGAATGAGACCTGAAACCTTACAGCTGAAGTCTCTCTTCAGGGAAATGTGAGGCTGGGAAATAGTGACCCTTTACTTCTACTACCAGTGTGCTGGTGAGGTGCTTCCCCTTCCCCCTTTCCAGAAAATTGAAACATGAGCTTGAATTGTTAGTTAGATCAAAGAGAGTTATAGATCTCTGTCCTTAAAAACTCATCAAAATGGGGGGGGGTCAGTCTTTTAAATATTTGGATTAATCTGGAGGCAGAGACTGGGTAATTGCCTAGCAGCCTCTCTGTGGATGCTTATTAAAAACTATTTGCCCACTTCCCTGAAATACCTTTTGCTTCAGTTTGGTTTTGAAGTCTTGCCAGCAAAAACATGATTAAGACTTTTACATTTTTTATTAAATATCTCTTAATCATATTCTGAAAACTGTAATTATTTTCAAGGTTATCTAATTCAGTAGAACAATTATTCTCTTAACATTGTAAGGGTTCAGTCATACAGAGTAACAGAATGCTCGTTCTGAACTTGTTGGTTTTAGTTTGTTCTTGCTAATTCCTCTCCCTCTCTTTTCTCCTTTCCAGAATCTTATTCTAAGAACTCAGACACTCAGGTATCCACCATGGTGTTGGGTCCTGAGCAGAAGACGCCAGATGGTAATTTACAGCTTTGTGTCATTGTCTAATTTTTATTTGGAATTAGGCTTAAGCCAGTAACAGGAATTTACCATATTGTCCTTCTTGTCTTCTGTTCCAACAAAAATTGTCCCCACCTCCTCTCCCCCAGCCAACAATATCATCATGGAGACCTGCTCCATTCAGAGGTCACCACCTGGTAACTTAGGCTGTAAATGGAAATGGATTTATAACCACAGAGACTTGCCTCATATCTTACTTCCAGTTCTGAGATGAGCCAAGATTAGCTACAAGTTTGGTTTCTATAGCAGTAATGCTTGTAAAGGCAGTATTATTTGCAAACCTGGCATAAAAACCTCTAGAGTGCTTTGTCTGCTCATGGCACTTCAGATATGCATGGAACAGTAAAATACTGAGCCAGCACCTAATAGTGTATTTAATGAGACTTCTTATGTGCTTTGACTAATTCTTCCTGATTCTAAATTTCTCCTTTAGAATTTCCATTCCTTTTCTGTACATTTCCTCCTCAGTTCAGTGTCGCTTAAGGTGAAGTGGGTCAGTTCCCTATAGAAAGAAAGCTTTTGTTTTTCTGATTGGATGTTGCAAAGGTTTCTTGGAAACCTTGAGATTAGAGCTTTGTGGTTAAAAATAGCCATTTGAAGGCTACAGCAAACTGTGCTTTGTATTAGCCCTTTTCTCCCAGACCCTCCCCCTCCCTGCTTTTAAAATTAACTGCAAAATGTAGGATTTAAGGAAACACTGATGATTAATCTGAGATGAGCCCTCCTATCAGGAGGGTGATACCTCCCCTCCCAAGCTCTTCGCTGCAGGCCTTAGTCAGGAGGGTTCCTGTTTGGTGGTTTCCCTGCAGCTTCAGATTTTAGCCTGAAATGTGGCAGGAGTTTGCAATTTACACATTTTTGGAGAAGCCTGATGGAGGTATAATGGCCAAGGATGATTCTTTGAGTAAGTCCTAACCAAATAATGGGGGGCAGGGAGGAGGAGAGAGGGGAGGGTCCCACTAGACTGACCTATTTCCTTCTAAAAGTTAGGATTTTAGGTTACCAGTGGGACTAGTCTGGGGATGTTATTCAATACATTGAGCCCTAGACATCACTGTTTTTAGAAGAAAATGAAATGGTTCTGAAAATTGGCAAGTGGGGATAGAAGTGTGAAAGTAGGGGGAAACCATTGTGGGATTCATGCTGAAAACTGATGTAGAGCTGAGTGACAGGGGAACAGGGGTGAGAGGGAGCTTTTTTATCATAAGCGTTTTTGTACTTCTCAAATTTCCAGTCATGTGAACATGTTGCCTATTCAAAAATTAATTTATTAAAAATATAAATAAAAATAAAGTACTAGAAATTGAGATAGAGTCAGGTTCACCTTGTGCCTTTAGGTATTAAAAAGATTTAATATCAGCATTTCTAAGGATGAGCTGTTAGTGTATTTTGTTCACTTTAATTCATTTCTTCTCAAACCTGTTAACTCAGAAGATGCTTCTGGAGACCACGGGGATTCTGCCAGCCTTGGGGCCATCAACCCTGCCTACAGTAACTCCTCTCTTCCACAGTCCCCCGGGGGGCACTCAGAGGACCCTTTCACCACGTACTTTGATGAGAAGATCGCCATTCCTGAGGAGGAGGTTAGTGACAGGTCCTTGGAGGAAAACATTATTATCTAGGGACAACCTATGAGTGGCAAGTCTGCTGGACAACTCCAGACCAACAGCTTCAGGTCTAATTCTGGCACGCAATCTCTGAAGACTGAATTTTTGTAATCAGGGTAAACAGAAACTGATAAGGAAACTGAGGGCCTTGAAAAACCCGTTGCGAAGTTGGACTAGTGAGCATTTTTTCTCCAAGAAAGTATGAATTCCATGTTCCCTTTTTTACAGTGCCTTTTGTCCTATTTGGGTAGTGGTTGTGCACAGAGGTACTGATATTATTGCTTGGGTTTTAGAATGAAAGACTGTTGGAAAGAGCAGGTAAGAGAAGGCCTCTTACTTGGACAGAGAGGTGGCCAGCTTATTGATGAGAAGTGGATAAGATGGACGTGAAACTTGGGCACACCCAGTATCCAACTTCCTAAATGTTCTTATGAAGCTAATATTGCTGCTTTATATGTGACAAAATAATAGATAAATTAGATCAGCAGTTTGGAGGTGATAATCATTTTGATCTGTTTTCCTCTCTTGTACAGTACTCTTGTTTTAGCTTTCGTAAACTCTGGGCTTTCACGGGACCGGGATTTCTTATGAGCATTGCCTACCTGGATCCAGGAAACATTGAATCTGATTTGCAGTCTGGAGCAGTGGCTGGATTTAAGGTGAACATCGAGTCCTACCCCTTTCCCGTTTAAACACACGTAGCACACCACATCCTTTTCCTCTACTCTTTCTGTTGGATATGAACCTCAGCGGCTACATGCTGATACTTGATTGGCTGTGACACTTCAGCGAAAAGTACTTTTCCATCTGTTTTTAAATTTTATTTTATCCATATAGATGGTTTTTAATTTTATTTTACCCACATAGTTTCCTTGAACACAGGAGAAACAGCAGATGGGAGAAACTAAGGCTCAGAAAGGTGCAAGGTGACCTAGCAGGTTCTGTGCAGAACATGATGCGGGACTCAGGTCATTTGATTCCTGACCGGGGCTCTTCCCTGAACGTAGTGTTTCCCATTCACATTGCCGAACAACCAAACAAAAAAATCCCAGTTATCTAATGCGTGTAATGGTGGGGTTTTGTTCTTCTCTAGTTGCTCTGGGTTCTTCTGATGGCCACCATCGTGGGGCTTCTGCTCCAGCGCCTTGCAGCTAGACTGGGAGTGGTCACTGGGCTGCATCTTGCTGAAATGTGTCACCGTCAGTATCCCAGGGTGAGCAGTGTTTGTCTGTTACTCATATCATAGGTGACTCTGTGTCTGGCAACCTGTGCTGGCCTCCTTGTATACTGAAATAGTGGAGGATGTAGGGATCCGTGGCCCTGAGGACTGGGAATCCCAAGGGAAATTCTATAGCCCCTCTCGCGGCTGACCCATGTTTCTGTGCTCCTTCAAAATCTAACACGAGATTCACATTTCCCAGAAAGTTTCCTTAGAAAAATTCTGTTTGAGTAAACATTTACCTTTCACTCTGCCTTTTGGTACCTAGCAGTGCCCAGTTCAAAAAGGGGCAGGGGTATTCTGTCTAAGCACTTTCATTCATACATCCATAGTACTCCATCGCTTTGCATTATGCATATTTTCTTTTTTGTTTGTCTTTGCCATAAATTTGAAGAAAGTGAGTTTTTTCCTTTTACTGCAAATTATATTACACAGGATCTTTGGATTTGTTAATAATGATTTTTCAGTTACCTTGACCCTGGAGTTTACACTGTCCTCTGTAGTTTCCTTCTGGATATTTTGGGCCTTTCTTGCTGCTACCTAAGGCAGGAATGGATGGACCCAATGTCTGGAAGACAGCTTTAAACTGGCCTGATCTTTAGATAAGTACTCATCTACATGCAGTTTGTCCTAAATGTTTAATCTCCTTTCCTGGCTGTGAGAAAGTATCCTTACCTGTTTTGTTTTTTTTTTTTCTTTTTCTTTTTCTTACATGCTTCTCAATAAAACAAAACAAAACAAAAAAACCCCTTGATAATTTATAATTTCTTTTAGCTTCTCTTCATGTATCTTAGCAGTTGTTTTTTGTGACATATTTTTTGGGTAGTAGGTACCTGGAGGTGTTTTGTTTTTTTTTTCCCCTGGCCTCAGTGAGCCAGCACTACTTAATTGCTTTCTGCTGGATTATTTGACCAGATTAGTTCCCAGATTTTGTTATAGGACACCCAATTCCAACCACTTGGCCCCAAGTCCCTTTGCATATTTGTCTTTTTTACTTGCTTGTGCATCACTACATTAAGGATGACTCCAACCTTTTCATGCTTGTTTTGTCTCTTCAGCTATGGTCAGGATAGATATTTTCTTCGGCAGCATTTCTGTTCTCTCCTGAACAATATTTTGACCATCTTAGCATCCTCATTTTCCCCTAAGACTTTTAGGATTGTTTTCAGGCAAAAAATTAAGTGGAAATAATGGATGGAAATTCCATTCTTCTGTCAAGTGGAAAGGAAGGAGAAAAAAATTGGAGTCAGCCGCTGCCCTGACCTTGACTCACAGGCTCTGCCACATAGAAGCAGTCTGGTCTTCTCCAGCAAGGGGCCAAGTGGAGCTGAGTTCTGGTACTTTATCTCTAGACCGAAAGCTTTTAAAGGAGTCTTTATGGATCAGTGCCAAAATGTGAATTCCAAACTATGGGGGAAAGTTCTTAGAAATGATTAATTAGAACCATATCTTTCTGCTCTTTGGTGTTTAGGTTCCACGAATTATCCTGTGGCTGATGGTGGAGTTGGCTATCGTTGGCTCAGATATGCAAGAAGTTATTGGCTCCGCCATTGCCATCAATCTCCTCTCTGCAGGAAGGTGAGGGATTTTTCTCTAGAAAGTAATCAGTGTTTTGCTAGATTTCCAAGCAAGTGTAAAAACAAAAACCCAACTCATTTTCAATTTTCAAGATTCAACTCAAGTATCAGTACTTTTTCTGTGGAACCTTTCTGGAACCACCTTCTCTCTTGGCAAATGTAGGTTCTATATCTTCCATGTTCTTATGTTGGGTCATGAGACCCAACACACCCTTTATTATCCAGGGTGTGGCAGTGGGTATTACAATTAATTTGTATGTCAGTTTATCCCACTAGACAAGTGAGCTCCTTGAGCGATAAGACCCATACTTTTCAGCTTTGTATCCTGGTTGTCTGAAATAGTAGACAAAGTTGAATGAATGAGTTACTTTACTTGGTGCTGTGCCTGGCCTCCTGCCACTGTTCCCTTTTCCCTAAGTCCTTGCTCCTCCAAGTGTTGTATAGCTGGAGAGCTGTTGGGAAGAGAGTGTTTCTCAATGTTTCTTTTCTTTCCTTTAATCTCCATTTCTTATCTCTGACCTTTCTTATCTCTGACCTAGGGTCCCGCTGTGGGGTGGAGTTCTTATCACCATTGCAGATACCTTTGTATTTCTCTTTTTGGACAAATATGGTAAGCAGAGTGGGAATGGAGGGGTCAGTCAAAGGAGCTGCTTTCCATCACGTGGCTGATGGGGGAGTCTGCCTTCTGTGAGCTCACTGCTGCATTTTCTCCCTTAGGCTTGCGGAAGCTGGAAGCATTTTTTGGTTTTCTCATCACTATTATGGCCCTCACATTTGGATACGAGGCAAGTGTTACAGGCTGTTCATTAGCTTTTTAAAACAATTTTTTTTCCTTTTATTATAAAAGACAGTATTTGTTAACAAAAAGCCAAATTCAGTCCTGAGCAAATTTGGAAGGAATAAGAGGTAGCAAAGACTAGTGTCCAGGAAGGCCTGCAGGGACTCCTAGGTCAAAAATGATTAGAATTTCCAGGACTTTCCAGACTAGACTTCGTGGTTCCAAGTTGACCATCCCAACAGCAGAACAGCCTTGGAGAGGGTTAAGGAAGGGATTGCAGGGTTATTCTTGGCTGTTACCTTAGAGGGATTCTGTTTTTGTTCATCCTGGTTGATGATAACTGCAGCTTGGACTTTCTCTGTAATGCAGCAGTTAATGAACTATAGGGGGTATAGTGCATGCTTCCCGGTTTGTCCCCCAACCCAGATACTCCATTGGGTTAACCCTAACCTTACTGTTATGTGCACCTACAGTAATAGCACCTTTCTATATCCAATTGTTGTAAACTGATTTCTGCTTATTGACCTAGCTAAACTTTTCTTTTTTTAATTAATTTATTTATGGCTGTGTTGGATCTTCATTGCTGCACATGGGCTTTCTCTAGGTGCGGCGAGCAGGGGCTACTCTTCATTGCGGTGTGCGGGCTTCTTACTGTGGTGGCTTCTCTTGTTGCGGAGCACGGGCTCTAGGCACATGGGCTTCAGTAGTCGTGGCATGCGGGCTCAGTAGTTGTGGCGCATAGGCTTAGTTGCTCCACGGCATGTGGGATCTTCCTGGACCAGTGCTCGAACCCGTGTCCCCTGCATTGGCAGGCGGATTCTTAACCACTGCGCCACCAGGGAAGTTCCTGGCTTAGCAAACTTTTAAAAATGCATCTGCTCTGAGTAGATGATACAGCTTGGTCTGAGGATTCCAAGAGAAATGCCAAACCAGGAAAAAGTGTGTATGAGAAGTGTCTCTGAATGAGTCTCAGCAGACGCCAGTGGCAAACATAAGTGATTTGTACATACGTAGGTGAACACAGGAGCATGATTAGTGTGGGCAATCAAGAATTGACTCTCTATTCTTGGGTGTGTCTCACAGGAGTAACTGTGAAGCTAATGTCAATAAGGCCCTTAGTAGCCATTTTATTTCTTTAGAGTATTAATTACATTCTCTACACATCTATTTTGTTATCTAAAATATGATGTGAAATATCTGGATACCCCAGTCCTAAATTCTCTGACCTTGTACTGCTTGGTTTTTTTGGATGGTTCTGTATTCCTCATTTCCTATGTAGCTGTTGATGAAGGGGTTTAAGGAGTAAAGGTTGCAGAGTGTTCCCTAGCACTGTGTTACTCCCCTGGTCTCATATTCCAGTAAAGGCTAATAGCTGTTCGGTTGGTATGTAGTATGTTACAGTGAAACCCAGCCAGACCCAGGTCCTCAAAGGCATGTTCCTGCCATCCTGTTCAGGCTGTCATACCCCACAGATCGAGCAGGCTGTGGGCATCGTGGGTGCTGTTATCATGCCACACAACATGTACCTGCATTCTGCTTTAGTCAAGGTAAGCAAAACCCATATCTCAGTGGCCTGTGTAGTTCATGGGATCTTTTCCTTTGGTTGCAAGGGACACACACTTAGTTTACAACTGTTAGAGCCCTGAAGGAGCAAGATGTTTTTCCACAGTTGGACTCCACACACTTGGACTCTGTTTTAATCACCAAGGTGACCAGAGATAACTGACCCCATAAAGAAGGGACTAAAGTCCTTCTTAAAAGGTCTGAAGGTGCACCGTGTCTCTTGTGTTTAAATCTCAAAAGCCTGAGTGGCCTCGTGGAGGTCAGGAGGAAAGAGCCCAACCTGGCTTTTACCAGTCAGTCCAACACAATAGTTTGCTGGGAGATTTCAGAGACCTTTGTAATTAAGGTTATCTACCCCTTAGGTCTGAAATCAGGTTGTTTTTGTAGGTCAGTGGTTTTTTTTTGTTTTTTTTTTTGCGGTACGCGGGCCTCTCACCGTTGTGGCCTCTCCCGTTGCGGAGCACAGGCTCCGGACACGCAGGCTCAGCGGCCATGGCTCACGGGCCCAGCCGCTCCGCAGCATGTGGGATCTTCCCGGACTGGGGCACGAACCTGTGTTGCCTGCATCGGCAGGCGGACTCTCAACCACTGTGCCACCAGGGAAGCCCAGGTCAGTGGTTCTTGCAGCCACAGTAACTGAGAGCTCAGCAGTCACTCGGTCACTTTTCCGTTTGGGGATGTGTGGTATCATCAAAGGGTTATGGAGTTCTTACTCAGTGAACCAGGATGTAGGTGGAGTCTCACATTTCATGTGGTTAGTTGTTTGCCCTCTAGGTCTTTCAGCTGACTCCAAACTCATGAAATATTATATGGAAACTTGTTCCAACTAGTCAAAAAAATGACCGTTGCTGTTATCTCTCTAGTCCAGACAGGTAGACCGAGCCAATAAGGAGGAAGTTCGGGAAGCCAATAAGTACTTTTTCATTGAATCCTGCATTGCTCTTTTTGTTTCCTTTATCATCAACGTCTTTGTCGTCTCAGTCTTTGCTGAAGCATTTTTTGAGAAAACCAACGAGCAGGTGGTGAGTAAGCCAGGGTCCTGGGTGGTAGTGAATGTGAGGGTAAAGAGGAGGCTGGATTGGGGTAGGAAAAGGTGACAGTGACTTAGAGCTCAGGGGAAATAGATCTCAAGCCTCAGTGCTGCTCCCTAAATCACTGCACTAGTCGTGGGTTACAGTCTGGGGGCTGTGACCAAGCCTAGACCCATCTTTCCAAGCTTTTGACAGGGAAGGGAGCTTGCCTCAGACAAAGATTGCCTCATGCTATTATTAGTGGCTTCACGCCTGTTTGACTCTTTGTCATCCCCTTTTGTTTCCTGCTACCCAACTACTAGCCACTTGCCAGTTCTGCCATTTGATGGTGACAGGTTGGGCAGAGCCAACAAACAGAAAACAGAAACTGTGGCAACATAGACTGTCTTGTCCTTTTGAATTCTCTGTCATCTTGATTCCTGATTGCCTATCTAGTTTTGATCACTACTTTCTTATCTATAGGACCTCTGACTCCTGGCTCTGCTTTGACTAAGGACTCCCTATTCTGGGTGTCCTATCATATCTGAAGCCCCCTTAAGGGCCCTCGCCTCCTGTCATCATTTAAAATGACCCAGCATTCGTGTATTACCATGCACACTCTAACTCAGTAAATGTTTTTGATGGCACGGGGGTGTAGAAAGATTACGGAGGAAGACCTCAAGTGACACTGCAGCCCGTCTCTGCCCTTATCACAACCTGTGTCCAGTGTCTTGCCTCCAGCATCCATCTCTTGGGTGACCTGTGTATAATCTGTAGGAGAGGGCTTCTTGTCTGGGTGCTGGCCTCAGAAGTAAAAGTTGTTCCTCAACTGCTTTGGTTCCAGGTTGAAGTCTGTAGAAATATCAGCAGCCCCCACACTCACCTTTTTCCTGACGATAACTCAACACTGGCTGTGGACATCTACAAAGGGGTAAACCTATTCAGATTTCTGATCTTCGCTCCTGAATCAATATTCTTAGCATAGTATCTGGTCTTTTCTGTGGGTTCACTTCAGAGCTCAGCATATCTTCTCCGGAGTGTGTTTTTTTCAGAGGTCCAGATGCCGGACAAGCCTTTTGGGTTACGTGGAAGGGAATAGAAGATCAGCTGAAAAGATGAATTGTATCAGCAATTCCCAAACTTGTGTTCATAGTATATTGTTCTATAGGACATTAATTGGGGTGACTAAAGAAAGTGTTCCTGGGAATTCCCTGGTGGTCCTGATGGTCCAGTGGTCAGGACTCCGTGCTCTCACTGCCGAGGGCCTGGCTTCAATCCCTGTTCAGGGAACTAAGATCCCGTAAGCCGCATGAGGCGGCCAAAAGAAGAAAAGAAAGTGTTCCAAGTAAAGTGGTGGTCTTTACTGGGGCCTCTCTGTCCCTTTTATGCTGGTTACATTGTGAACCTCCAAGAGTAGAATATATAGTATGTAGCATTTGCAAAATTTATTTGAGCTCTCTCTTCATTCCTGTTACCATCTTGCAGAATAGGGTGTTAAGGAATTTAATTTGGGAAGTGTTGTGGACTTTTTTTTTTTTTTAATAGTTAAGATATAGGTTGAGGATAAAGGCTTTAGGAACCTAGAGAAGAGAAGGGACTAGGCTGAGGAGAAATAAAGGTCCCTCCAGCAGAATTTAAGTTGAAAGCCTCTAGAATGAGGTCAGGACCTAAGTCTAGCTTCTGTTACACTGCCCAGCACAGCACTTGGTATAGGTAGGTGCATAGCCAGGAAGAGGGAGAAATGTCGCAGAGGAGTGCTGTTTGGAGTGTTGTCTCAGGTGGTCTTTGACACAAACATATCTTTCTCCCTTGCCTCTCCCAGGGTGTTGTGCTGGGGTGTTACTTCGGGCCTGCTGCACTCTACATCTGGGCAGTGGGGATCCTGGCTGCAGGACAGAGCTCCACCATGACAGGAACCTACTCTGGCCAGTTTGTCATGGAGGTACCTGCTGTTTGGACTGGGATAGACTAGAGGAAGAGGACATTGCCCTTTTGTTACTTCTTAATCCCATGTATCTGAAGTCTTCCTGAACCTCCCCAGACCTTTTCCTGTGTCCTATTCCAGACATTCATCCTGCTTCTGTGTTTCCTTCTAGGGATTCCTGAACCTAAAGTGGTCACGCTTTGCCCGAGTGATTCTGACCCGCTCCATTGCCATCATCCCCACTCTGCTTGTTGCCGTCTTCCAAGATGTAGAGCATCTGACGGGGATGAATGACTTCCTGAATGTTCTTCAGAGCTTACAAGTGAGGAGGGAGCTGGGGAAGCTCACATCCCATTGAGTCAGGCAGCATTTCGTATTGCCCGTAGTTACCAAGCCTAATGCTGCGTGCTGGGGAAAACTCAGAGGAAGAAAGAGGCACGGTCTTGGTCTATAGCAAATGCATATGAAATCCCTGGCATCTGAAAGGCTTTTAGAAAGGGCTGGGTTTTTAAGCTTGGTTTTTTTTTTTTGAATGGGAGTTATAAGCTATAATCACACATAGAACACAAAACTATTGTTCGTTAATCCAAGCAAACATTAAATAACGTATAGGACACTGCTAGATTTTGTGGAGATTAAGAAGACAAGGCAGATACAAATTTTGTATCTGACACTATGTATAAGACACTATGATCATAATTGATGCTAGGTTAATGACACCTCTACAGATTTCCACATAATGCTCCAGCATGTTGGAATGATAGGAATAATTTCTCATGGAGTAGATGAGACAGGGTCTATGTTTCCCTTTTGCTAACAGTGCTACTCTCTGGGGTGATACAAGGACCCCCAGTGGCCCTATCTGATCTTAGTTTTTTCTTTTCCAGCTTCCCTTTGCTCTCATACCCATCCTCACGTTTACGAGCTTGCGGCCGGTAATGAGTGAATTTGCCAATGGAATGTGAGTGTACTTCTTTTAGTTCCCCAAATATATATGGAGGAAGGGTATCTTCATCAAACAGGCCAGTCAGAAAATAAGTCATAGGGGAACTATATGCTTTGAGAGGTGATTGCTAAAGCTGCCCCCTCGGTCTTTGACTTAGAAAATGGAGACTGTGAATGTAACAAAGGAGGGCAAGCACAGTTTTCATTTCTGGGGGAAATTTTTCAGCTTTTAGGGCTTTAACTCTTTAGCTTCAGCCACTTAAGTTTAAAGCACCTTAATTCCATGTTAAATGATCTTGATGAGAAGGGCATAAGCTAATACCTTTTATATACATCTTTAAAGGACATGGTTTATTTGAAATGACTTATTACATCTCTAGGGACTCATGACTTTTTGCATTTTCAGGGACTTCAATAATAGGGATTATTTGATAGTGTTTTTTTTTTTTTTGGTACGTGGGCCTCTCACTGTTGTGGCCTCTCCTGTTGCGGAGCACAGGCTCCAGATGCGCAGGCTCAGTGGCCATGGCTCACGGGCCCAGCCGCTCCGTGGCACGTGGGATCCCCCTGGACCAGGGCACGAACCCGTGTCTCCTCCATCGGCAGGCGGACTCTCAACCACTGCGCCACCAGGGAAGCCCTGATAGTGTTTTTTCCCCCTCTTTCTCCCTATCATTATGTAACTATCATTATGTAACAGATTAGGCTCATTTAACCTAATCTGGGACATAAGAACCACTTTTCAGTTCATTTTGAAATGCCTCTTAACTCCTGTCCTGTGTACCCCAAAAGACACAGTGTCTTTTTATGTTTGTGGACAGGTTGGGCTATTCCACCAATAATTGTGCTGTTTCTTTTTACAGAGGCTGGAGGATCGCAGGCGGTATCTTGGTCCTTATCGTCTGTTCCATCAACATGTACTTTGTCGTGGTTTATGTCCAGGAACTAGGGCATGTGGCATTGTATGTGGTGGCTGCTGTGGTCAGCATAGCTTATCTGAGCTTTGTGTTTTACTTGGTAAGTCCATTTGGGAGGGGGCAGGGGCATATAGGTATCAGGGTGGTCGAGGTGTGGCTAGCACTCAGAAATGAAAGGACCTGAAAGAGTCGTTAAACCAGCTGTGATTAAACAATATTTTTAACCATAAAATCTACCTTGGTTCCTAAGAGCTATCATTTTTCTATTTCTGTCACTTCTGTCTGGTTTCCATTCTTAATAATTCCTAACAAGAGAGTGTAGTATGTTTGAAGAACTAAAAGAAGATCAGCAGTGTAGAAAGTAGAGAGTGGTACGAGATGGGATTGGAGAAGGGAGCTGTGGAGTGTGGTTTCAAATCTTTGGAGAGCAGCACATGTGGGTTCACAGCCCTGCCCAGCTCTACTACTTAATAGCTATCCAATAAGGACATAATTAAATAGTGATATTCTCTCATTGAGTTATTCTAGAGTTATTTTAAAATGATGGTTATAAAATATAGCTACATAGAAAAGGAATGCAAAATTGTGTACACCTAGATAATCAAAAAAATTTTCAAAAGTCCAGAGTAAATTATGTAAAAATCGTAATAGTTGTTGTCTTAGGCTGGTGGGATTATGGATATATTCTTTTCTCTATTTTCCACATCTTCTGTAACATTACTTATATTAATGAAAAGCAGCTATAGCAACAACAAATCCACCTCCCTATTCTACACAGGTTTCTCTGAAAAACACAGGAGTTGAGGATTAGGGACAGCAGACTTCATACCATGTCTGCTACAGAGAATGGCAGGGATGGAGGGTGGAAACCCACTGCTCATCTTTATAACACTTACCTAGTCCCCATGCCAATGTCTGCTACAGGTTATATACTTGACTGAGAAAATCATTTTAGTGAATATTGAAAAATTATGCCCTGGATGGATATGTCCCTTCTTTTTTCCTCCCCAGTAAACCATGGACACACTAAGATTATGCTGACCATAATATAGGGACTTATTCCAAGGAAACCCAAGTAACTGAGTATGTCCTTGACAGAAACTGTTTTAAAAATTTGCTATAGAACTTAAGGGAATCCTTCCTTCGTGCAAATTGGTTGTGAAGGTGCCGAGTTCTCAGTCAGCCTGAGACTATTGAGATTGTTGAAGACCCATTTTTAAAAATAAATTTATTTATTTGTTTGTTTGTTTATGGCTGCATTGGGTCTTCGTTGCTATGCGCAGGCTTTCTCTAGTTGTGGTGAGTGGTGGCTACTCTCCGTTGTGGTGCGCGGGCTTCTCATTGTGGTGGCTTCTCTTGTTGTGGAGCATGGGCTCTAGGCGTGCAGGCTTCAGTAGCTGTGGCATGAGGGCTCAGTAGTTGTGGCTCCTGGGCTCTAGAGCGCAGACTCAGTAGTTGTGGTGCATGGGCTTAGTTGCTCCATGACATGTGGGATCTTCCCGGACCAGGGATCGAATCCGTGTCCCCTGCATTTGCAGGCGGATTCTCAACCACTGTGCCACCAGGGAAGTCCCTGAAGACCCATTTTTAAGGCTTAGGGCTGATTCTAGAGTGAATTACTACTGTTTAGCTCTAAAACATATACTTATAGAGCAGCTCAGGAGACTATAGCAGTTGTATTAGCCAATCAGTCATTCCCCCTATCGTGAGGAATGGGGTAGGACTGAAGAAAAGTGGTCTTCAGGGAACTCTCCCAGTCAGCTAAAAGAAACAAACCAAACACAAAGCAGTAGGAACAGAGGGAACTCAGTATTGAAAATAGTATGGCAAAAGAGGTTTGTATCTGAGCAGTGCAATGTGGGCAGTCATGGGTAAGAGGTCGGTGAATGATGACTGTATTTTCTCTTTCAGGGTTGGCAATGTTTGATTGCACTGGGCATGTCCTTCCTGGACTGTGGGCACACGGTAAGCACCTCTAAAGTCCTGCTGACCGAAGGAGCCACCAGTGGCTATACTAAGTAAACACTGGGTCAGTCTGTCTGTCTTCCGCAGGTAGCCATCAGAGCCAGTGTGTTGCTATGGTTTACTGTGTGAACATAGCCAAAAGTATGTGCTGTTGCACAGACTGCATTTAGGACTCAACTGTTTGTTGGGAAAGGCTTTGCATATGTGTTTGAAAGAAGCCATTATTTTTCTTCCTGACCTCCTAACCTGGGAACTGGATTAGGTAGGGTCCTTGAAAAGCTGACATCTGCTGCTCTCAAACAACACTAAACTCTTTAGCTGCCCAAGGGCCAGCTTGTTTTATCGTTTTGAGAGATCACTATTGTAGCCTCTCCCATTGTGGAGCACAGACTCCAGACGCGCAGGCTCAGCAGCCATGGCTCACGGGCCCAGCCGCTCCGCGGCATGTGGTATCTTCCCGGACCGGGGCATGAACCCGTGTCCCCTGCATCGGCAGGCGGACTCTCAACCGCTGCGCCACCAGGGAAGCCCTATGCATGATTCTTAACAAGACTGACTATATGTTGAAAAAACATATTTGGAAAATGCAGTAAATTTTTCATGATACAAATTACAGAATGGGTATGAGAGTTTTGTTTATCAAAAGATAATGGATTTTAAAAGGCTGAGAAATACTTTCCTTATGCATACCCTTTGAATTATTTTAATTATAAAAAAATAAAATCTCAACTAGAGTGGTTTGATCCATTTGAAATATAAAATTACGAGATATCTACCTCTATCAGGTTCAGGGTTCTCTTAACTTATTTTCACTTTAAATTTCTCTGGATGTTAAGAGGGGTGAGAAAGCATAAAGAAGATGGTAAATGGACAGATAGCAAAACTCACCTGTAGGTGGTGGTTACTCATCTCATTTGAAAATCACTTCGATGATTTTCCTCAGAAACTGAAAGCTTATCGAAATTTTCTTGGGAGTCCTAATTTTAATAACTTTCATGTTAGTACCAAGCTTTCCTGACGGTATTTCTTCTTGAGCACTTAGAGTCATGAAACCTTCACCTTCCTCCTTCAGGAGGGTAGTGATAGAAAGAGATGGTAGCGCTTATGCACTGATGTTCTCATGAGACTTTGGGGTGAGGAGAAAATCTTGAAAGAAGAAGAGCCATCTGTTTTATTCCTAAAAGCCACCTTCTACCAGAATCGTCACCTTTTTCTGAAGCATGCCCAAGACGACTTGCAAGGCAATCTCGGGAGCTCTGGATCTAACGGTTGCAAAGCTCGCTCGCTCTCAGCAAGTCCTTAGGTATCACTATGGTTACAGAGTTCTCTCAGCAGGGTTGTGCTGGGCTACCTCTCTTCAGCCATTCCCTCAGAGGGAAAAACTTTGAGACCAGATGGTGGAGCTCTGGAATCAGAGGAGATGGGTCCCTTCAGCATGCAGCTGCTGCTCTTCAGCCACTTCTGACATTTTTACATGTGGAGCCTGAGACTATGTGATTATCTCAAACCAAATCACATTTGTCTGATGGAGATAAATAATCAAGTCTTTTATAGCCACTGACTTGGAGAGAACAGTAATGGGAATGGCATTGAAGGACTTTTCATTTTTGGTGTTTTCTTTCTGGAGTCCTTGTTGATTGATGTTCTCTGTTCACCTGAGCCCCTAAAGGCATTATTGCCGATACTTTGTACACAGTTAAAAGCATAGACTGAATGGACTGTCTTTTATATGGCATTAAGGGTAAACTACTATGTTTCACTGACCTTACCTTTATCTCAGCCCCTCCAGTGATACAGCACAGGATCATGAGAGACAAATTTCCCTAACTGTCCCTCCTCATATCCCTCCCTCTCCCCTACCATCATTCCCCAAACTGACATAAGACCATACTGAAGATATCGGGGACTGACATCTTAAGCTCTCGTCTGGCTGCTGTAGGTGAGGGCCACATTGACAAAATTCTTTGTAAAGACACTACAGTAACATTTACCTTTGCCCCCAGTCTGGGTGAGTCCAGTCAGTCTCAGATTCACAAATATTTAGAAGCCCAGGTAAAAGCTGCTAGTTTTCTTTGAAAAGTTATATATATGACTTGCAATGATGGAAAATTTCTTCCCAGTTAAATGGCATTTTATATCAGTGTGTGTGTAGTAGTATTCAGTGTTAAAAACACTCCCATACTGTATTCCATTTGATCCTTTCAGACAGAAAGTGTACTTTCTAGTCAGCCAGTACTTTGGGTACAGTAAACAATGTTTAGGACTGAAGTCTTCCAGTGCCAGCATGTGCAGTATGTTTGTGTGGAATGTTTAAGGATATACAATTGTATTTTATGTAAACTGGTCCTTGTTCTCCATAAATGTGGCATGAAATAATTGTGCTGCTACAGCATACTGGGAATTAACAGGGATGGGAAAGAGCTGCAGTTTGGCTCCTGTGAGGTCCTGCTAGTGGTTTTAGGAGTGATTGCAGCAAGTTTTTAGTGATCATTCAACAATATGTAAACTTGGTTTGTAATTAAAAAGTTTTTTTTCCTTTTTCCAATTTGGTTTCCTGGGTATTCTTTTAACTTTGAAAATACTTTATTAATGGGGCGTCAACCACTTTGAAATACTGAAACATCAACTACCACCTGGAATGACATACTAAACTCACACTGTTAGTGATTTTTCTCTTTAGAAGAGAGAGGGAAATACAGTTGATCTCTGGACAACCCGGGGTTGGGGCACTGACCCTCCATGGAATAAAAAAATCTGTGTAAAATTTATAGTTGGGCTTTCATGTTTATAGTCGGCCCTTCATGTCCAGTGTTCCTCCGAATCTGTGGTTCCACGTTCTCAGATTCAACCTGCCTGGGGTCATGTAGTATTTACCATTGGGAAAAAAAATCCATGTATGAGTGGACTCACGCAGTTCAAATTCATGTCGTTCAAGGCTCAACGTAGGTTTAGTTCCCAGAAGACTTGATGAATTGCAGACACCAAACACTAATTTCTATTACCCATTTAGTCAGATAGTTTTGCCATTGCTAAAGGTTACATCATTACCATATTTAAAGTTGAAAAAACATTGTCATCTGGCCTTTTTCTGCTCTAAGCGGAACATTTTTCTATCTGTAGTCTTGTTTCACCATTGAGGTCTTTTATATTCTGTATATGCTACCAGAAAAAAAGTATGAGTATTTGAAAAGAGAAACCAAAATTGTTTAGGTTAAAAATGAAAGCATTTTGGCAGACCTGATATAAATGGAAATATTGGCACCGTTTAAATAAAAACAAAGACAGAGCTCAGACACAGTAAACTACTAGCCTTGTCACCAAACACATGGCAGGAAAATCTAAGTCAGCACTTAATTTGTTTCAAGAATGTCACTAGAACTTCATTTTCCCTTTCTCTGTTGCAAGCTTTCCCTGTTTGTCTTACAGGAGCTGAATACTGTAAGTAACACCATAGAAGTTACCTGGCAATTTTGTTCTCCATGTTGTCCTTCCTCATTTAGCTCTCCCTTCTAATTTTGTTTTTGTTTAAATCTTTTTTTTTTTGCCTTGCTGCGTGGCTTACGGGGTCTCAGTTCCACTCGGGCCCATGGCAGTGAAAGCCCAGAATCCTAACCACTAGGCCACCAGGGAACTCCTTACTTTGGATTTAATTTCAGAACTAAAATCGGATGCATAACAATTTGAAGATCCTGATCTGAGATATTTCCTTTAGTTCTGCCCTCTGGAGTGCTTTCTGTTCCTTCCTTGGATAGGACCAATGCATCCAAATGTGTCACCTTCTCTTGGCACCTTGGCTTTTGAATGTTAAAAATGACTAACACACTGCTATGTGCTAGCCGGGGTCTTTGCACTCATATGATCTCATGTAATTCTTATAACAAGAAGATCAGCCTCTATATAGATAAGGCAACTGAAGGACCAAAAAGTAAAATAATACATCACTAAAAAGTGGGCAATTGGCATTTGAACTTGAGTAGCTTAATTCCAGAGCCCACATCATCATTACCAGTCATGCTATATAATATATAGTATACACTTCATGCGCAGTTAAGATACCAAGCTTTGGTGTTTAGCAGCTCCAAGAACAGCAACATATCAAAGATACTTTGCTTGATCCTCTGATGAGTGCTAGAATATGGTTTAGATCAAAAGCTGCCAACTGGTAGGCTAATTTTGTTTGGCCTGTGCTAAATTTTAAAAAGTACCTGAATGCTTTTTCAGGTAGGTGTGGAAAATGGGCAGGGCCTTCTATGATCCTACCCCAGCAATAAGTAAGGACTGATAGTTTATTCATTTGCATACCTCTCTGCCCTTGAAAGGTTTAGCCAATTCCTGTGCAATTTACCCCATTTCTTAGTGCCTCCGAGCAATATGACAAACTCCTCCAATGAAGGAGTGCTCTCTGCTAAGTCATCTAAGTGATACAACCTGGAGGTCAAGGGACTAAAAATGCAACCCTTGCTTTCTACATAATGAAGAAGCCCGCCACCTTAGCTCACTTGAGAAAAGACTGCAGTGAATTGTCAGTGTATCTGACAATCGCTCTTGGTTACTAAAGCTTGAGTCATAAGACCTTAAAGTGAGTAAGCAAGCTGAAGTCTGAAGTCCCGTGGTCCCGCCCTAAGGCCAGTGTGACTCAGTAATTTCCTAGCCCACTAGTTGAGAATAGTTTTATCTTGGGCTCCATTTGGTTTCATCTTCACACAGTCATCACAAGCTTGTGAGGTATACAGGGCAATTTGTAATGTGTTAAAAAATTATTGAAGACTGGAACTTCCCTGGTGGTCCAGTGGTTAGGACTCCACACTTCCACTGCAGGGGGCGCAGGTTCGATCCCTGGTTGGGGAACTAAGATCCCACATGCTGTGTGGCACAGCAATTACTGAAGACTAACATGAGATAGCTTATTAACGTACTTGACATTTTCAAATGTAGCGTTTATTCCCATTTTACAAATAAGTAGGATAAGGCTCCAGAAAGATACATGACTTGCTCAAGGTCATAGGAAGGGGCAGAGTTGGAGCCTGACCCCAACTCCAGTTCCTTTTCCACTATATGATAGAAACATTTTCTTTCTATGAATTTATAGTGTGCATTCGGCATCCTGAGCACTCATGATTTAATTTAATTCTTATAACAAAAGGATCAGCCTCTATGCAGGTGAGGCAACTGATAGGCCAAAAAGAGTTTGTTGTTGACAAGGGGCAACAACATTCCTAACACCCCAAGTAATAACAGTAGGGCTAAAAGGAGACTCAGTGATTGTCCCATGGTGAATTTGGAGGAGAGAAAAAGTAAGATACAACTTCACAGATGCCAACACAAACCATCTGGATTCAGGTCTCCAGGAGTGGGTCTGACAACGTGTTTTAAAAGCAGCCGAAGTGATTCTAATTCAGCCTGCTAAACGTTTGGGACCCGTAGCTCATCTCTTCTCTTAGTACATGACATTTTGTTTTTTTTAATGAAAGGCTTGGCTTTGCTCAGGTGCCAAAGGATAATAGGACCCAGATAATAGGGTCAGGATTTAGATTATTTGCAATTTGATTTCTTTTTTTTTTTGGCCGTGCTGGGCAGCTTGTGGGATCTCAGTTCCCTGACCAGGAGTTGAACCTCTGCGCTCTCAGCAGTAAAAGCCTGGAGTCCTAACCACTGGGCAGCCAGAAAAGTCCCTGAAATTTTATTTCTAACACACTTGGTATTAAAGTACAAAAGCTCGCAGTGCGTTTGCTCTTAATATCCTGATCAGAAACAATCATCCTGAGGCAGAGTGTGTAGCAAGAATAGTCAAAGTGCAAATTTTCCTGAGGGCATTCGGTACCATCTCAATCTTTAACTATTTTGGCTCCTAGCAATTATTTTATATACAATAAACCATTCATGTATCTGTAAGCCATTTCTTTTCTGAAATGAAAGTCTATATAGCAGAACTGAAAAAAGACCTACATTGACATGCTGATTATAGGTACTTAAATGCCAAATTCAATATTTAAATACTTGCACATCAGTCTAACCCTTTTCCATCTTTTTGTCCTCAGTACCTACGTCTGGGATTGACAGTTCAGCCTGAACTCTACCTTCTGAACACCGTGGATGCTGACTCACTTGTGTCTAGATGACTGACAGCCTGAGAGACTCTATAAGACCCACTTTCTCTTAGTCCTTTTGTGCCAAGTGTCCTGTTAACGTATCTCTGTTAGTTCAGTGGTGAGTTTTGTTCAACCATTTTGAGCAGAAGGCAAAGATTTCCTCATGGGACGGGTGTTAAAAGCTGACAGCTTTAAGCGTAGGTCAGAGACCCGGAGAGTCCTGCAACTGCCAGAGTTAAATTTTTAGCCCATGATGGTCACACACCCCTATGGGCTTGTGTCTCGACTTCTGGAATTTTAAAAATATATATGTGTGTATGTTTAGGTAAACCTGAACATATCAGTTTGGGTAGAGTTTTAAGGTTATATAAAAATGATAGATCTTTTGTATTTTTTTTAACAAATGTTGCTCAGATAAATCAGATATTTATTTTGTCTGGATCGCAAGTCACAAAGGAAAAGGAGCATTGTTCTTTTTCAGAGTGAACTGGTCAAGCTGACTTACTTTTAAAGTGATACTTGACTATAGCCAGTTAAATTTCACTTTGATTTTTATTGACTGAACCTTGGTGACTACTGATTCTAGCACATCATTTCCAAAGAAAACACTTCTTCTATTTGGCATGTTTAATCCTGGTTGTCGGTGTGCTTTGTGATTGTTATTTTCTTTGTTGCTTTTCTTGAGTTTTTTTCAGAGATATGATGGTATTTTCCAAAGAGCTTAATGCCTACGAACAGGATCCAGAAATCACACTGAAACCAATGATCAGTTTTCCCTGCTGCATTGTAACTCAGCCCATTCTAGCATTTAAGTTGTAGGTATAAAAAGAATTCTAACATTTAACTTTGTAAGTCCCAACAGAAGATAATGGAGGTATTAGTTTTCTTTCTGATGTGTGTATAGTCCCACCATGTCTTTTCTTCCCACTTTTCCCATTAACACTCCAAACACCATTTCTAGGTCCAAAGTCTATTTCCCAGAGTGGCTAATATTTCTAACGCTGACTCTCCTAGGGAATGCTAAGCGTTTTAAGTTATATATACCAAGTATAATAGTATGAGATGAGAATTAGACTGGGACTTGGAAGATTTGTCCACATGTCACAAGCTGCCTGCCTACATGTGGCTTATAGAAATATATTTTTTGATCCCTCTGTTCCTAACCAGGATTTTTTTTCCATAAAATTTTTATAATAAAACATTTAGTATTTAAAACTTGAAAGTTTCTGCATAACGATCTGATTGAAAAGTCAGAAGATTTTCAACATTGGGCCCACGTTCCTTCATGGAAGTGCAGTTGGCTTAAACTGAGTGGCAGCTACCCATTTTTTTTTTTTTTTTACATCTTTATTGGAGTATAATTGCTTTACAATGGTGTGTTAGTTTCTACTGTATAACAAAGTGAATCAGCTATACATATACATATATCCCCATATCTCCTCCCTCCTGCGTCTCCCTCCCACCCTCCCTATCCCACCCCTCTAGGTGGTCACAAAGCACCGAGCTGATCTCCCTGTGCTATGCAGTTGCTTCCCACTAGCTATCTATTTTACACTTGGTAGTATATATAAGTTCATGCCCAGCTATCCATTTTTAATGGAATATACTCCAGGGTGGCATCCATGCCTTTTTTCATTTCCTTCCAGCCCAAAGGCATTGAGTTTGCAAACCCTGCAGGCTTTGTGTGTTTGAGCATCACTTTTCTCTTTCAGCTTAAAAACTGAATATCCAACCTCTCTGCCTTATTTTATTTTTTTTTTTTCTGCCTTATTTTAAAACTTAGCACCTTTCAATAAGACTTAAAAAAATTCAGACATTGCCTATGTTCATTTATAATGATTTGATCCTCTAAGTGGCAGGGATTTTGTCCAAGATGATACTTTCAAATTCCCTCATTTCTACTTCATGGCCCTTGAAACTTCTGATAAGAGCGGCATCCTTGCAACGTAGGTTAGAGACCTTCTGATCTCAAAAATGAAACTGAGTTAATGCCACTTATCAGCTTTTACTTGAAAAAGCGACTTAAAAAATGAGTTTCAGCGTTTTCGTTTCTTTATACAGAGACAGCAATCTAGATGAATCAGTTTGTTGGATTTTCCTCCCTCCATGGGCAATTTCATTTCTCAGTAGTTTCACTACCAGAGAATATTTGGGGAAAGAAAAAAAAAGCAAAAAAAAAATCCTGTTTTGCAACTCATAAAAAGATAAGGTGGTTGGTTAAACAGAGATTAAGTACTTGAGGAATTTCTGTAGCTTTTCTCCATTCTTTAACTGTATGTTACTAGGAACAGACTAGAGTTTACAAAAATTTATAAGTATACCCCTCAGGACATATAGCTCCTGTAATCAGAAAATTTGATAATAAAGCAAACTGAATCATGCTAAAACCAGTAGAGAAGATTGATGTCTAAGGAGTGAGTCTTGGGTAAAGTTTTATGCTAAGTTAAGAATATTTAATTATTCTTTAATTTATGATTTACAAATCTGGATTTCTATGTTATGTGCTTATATAGATATTAATATATTCAATCTTTTTTTTTTTTGGCCGTGCTGTGCAGCATGTGGGATCTTAGCTCCCCAACCAGGGATTGAACTCTCGCCCCCTGCAGTTTTAAGTGTGGAGTCTTAACCCCTGGATCGCCAGGGAAATCCCAATATATTCAATCTTAAGATTAACCTAGATGCATATACTCACTCAGTTCCTGGGGTTTAACACTGTGGAGTCAGTTTTTTAAAAGGATGCTCTGACAGTGTATACCCAGAATGTTAGAACAATGCAGTTTAATAATTGTTACTGGGCAGCTGCTGCTACCTACCTGTGTGTTGGCTTAATGTAAAAGGCAGTCAGAGCATATCCAGGCACACGAAATAGTTTAGTCAGTGAGGCAGAGGTTACAGCAGACGATGAAAATAGCCTTCTCAGTTTTAAACATTATGATATTAAGCCACCAAACCTTTGCCCCAGAAGTATTGTGCAAATTCAGGTACTGTATTTTATCTATTTATAAGGTCCTCCTGCAACAGCCTCCCATCTTTACCCAGGCTAATGTGGGTAAATGGGCATCCTGCATACTTAACTTTTCTCCATACAAGATTTTACATTTTAATTTAAACATAATTTGTGAGCTCTCATGCATAATACTTTTTTTTTTTTTTTTTTTTTTGTGGTACGCGGGCCTCTCACTGTTGTGGCCTCTCCCGTCGCGGAGCACAGGCCCTGGACGCGCAGGCTCAGCGGCCATGGCTCACGGGCCCAGCCGCTCCGCGGCATGTGGGATCTTCCCGGACCGGTAACGAACCTGTGTCCCCTGCATCGGCAGGCGGACTCTCAACCACTGCGCCACCAGGGAAGTCCCATAATACTCTTAATAAATATTTTTCATCGCTTTTTTCAAGCAATAAATATATTACTTTAGTACTTTCAGAGTAAGATTATGACAAAATTCTGGAATCTCTTGGGTTTTGTGAGAAAAGCCCATTTCTGATTAAACACTTCAGTTAATCTATTTTTACTGCTGAGCATATATTGGGAGAGTGGGATCTTTCTGGTAGCCTGATTAGAAGTATCTTTTCATTGTGTAATCAACATGAAGGATGACATTTCTATTCCAGCCATCTTAAATTTTTCTGAATTTCATGGAACATATTAGAGCCAACTGCTGGAATATTTACCCTAGTAGAATAAAGTAGTTGGATTCTTTCCTTGCCTATTTTTTTTTAATTAATTAATTTATTTTTGGCTGCACTGGGTCTTTGTTGCTGCACGCGGGCTTTCTCTAGCTGCAGCGAGCGGGGGCTACTCTTCGTTGCAGTGTGCGGGCTTCACATTGCGGTGTTTTCTCTTGTTGCAGAGCACCGGCTCTAGGCGCGTGGGCTTCAGTAGTTGTGGCTCACAGACTCAGTAGTTGTGGCTTCCAGGCTCTAGAGCAGAGGTTCAGTAGTTGTGGCACACGGGCTTAGTTGCTCCACAGCATGTGGGATCTTCCTGGACTAGGGCTCGAACCCGTGTTCCCTGCAATGGCAGGCGGATTCTTAACCACTGCGCCACCAGGGAAGTCCCTCCTTGCCTATTTTCTATGGAGGACAGTGTTGACTGAAACGTGTACTTGTTGGTGGCACTAGAAGAGCCTCATGATAGGTACAGATGGCAACTTTTAAAATAATTACCCTGTGCCAGTAGAGAAAAGTGTATATAATACACAGAACAGTGGGTAATGTCTAGAATGCGGATATATTTTCAGATCTTCCTGTGTCTTTCCCTTGCCAAACACTAGACTTCACCTTCCTGTTAGAGTATTCCTCCACTACAGGCATCAAGGAAGGGGAAATCAGCACCACAGATCATATTACAGTGTATTCTTGATTTTATCTCAGTGGGTATTTTTTTGTTTTGTTTTGTTTTCTTTCCCAGGCCTGGAGTCAGGGAATAAATCTGAGCCATGGCAATTATGACTTCAACAAGGTCTAGCTTAGTTTTTAGAACCCTAGGGCAATTACAGAGGAGTTTGATGCCACGGGTATACTTAACATTTAATATCTTCTTTGTTTCTTGTGTTTTCTACAGTGTCATACCAGATTAGCAGTAGCACTTCTGGACTAAATCCTTTTTTCCCTCAATACTGCCATCTGAGGGAAAAGGGATTTTTTTTAGCAATTTACCTTTGTACTCCTAGAAGTACTTTCAACAAGTATAAAAATGAATACACAAATATTTAAATGTTAAGACCTTTACGTTTGTGGAAGAATAGTCAAATTTTTATGTAAGAGTGAGGTGCACAGTGGTGAACCAGATTTAAATAACAACATGGCCATTCTCCTCTGATGTAATTTTTGCCCATTCTAGAAAGGAGTTTATGAAAGCCTTAATTACCTTGCCCTGTTTGTGGAGAATTAAGCTGTGAATAGAGCATCACATTTAATATGGATAGAGAAAATTTTTCTGTAGCCACTATATAACTCCTAATTTTCAGATTGATTTGGCGTAATATAGATTATATTCTGCCACTAACTAGAAAATAAAAATTTTAAAAGTCAGAAAATCATGGCCTAGCCTTTGAAAGACATCAAGAAGGATATTTTTGAGCTGACTCTGTTGATTTGGAATGAAGTCTGTGAGAATTCCGGCTGAAACTTCTGCAGTATAATTTGCTACATATTAAAAATTCTTCATAATAAATAGTTTTCAGAAGGCTTCTTGTTTTTCTTGTCTGAAGCTTCATTTTTTGGACACATTGAAGGATCGAGGTCTAATATAATCCTTATACATAGAATAGAGAACACCTAGAAACCAAAAGATGTATATCAATAGAGTATCCATGGGAAACAAACACTGAATTTCTTCACTTGTATTTTTTCTAAAACCAACCTACAATTAAAAAACAAACAGACGCCCTCTATCTTACTAATTTTTGGCTTGGATCATATGAGTGACTCCAGGAAAAAAAAACAAAAAACAAATCTAAGAGCCCTTTGGGATCAGTATAAATCTGAATTTATGACATTACAATGACACCCTACCTAAAGTTTGAATTTTAAAATATTGGTGAGAAAGGAAAGTGGGAAGATTTGGCTAGATCTTGAGATAAAAACAATAGGCACTTCAACTTAGAAAACATCTATTCAGTGTCTACTAGTACTCAGTATTCTGAAGAAAAGCAAGGTGAATGGATCTAATCCCTGCTTCTAGGGATTTACAGTCCAGTGGATGAATTAGCTATGTTTAGGCAGATGAGGTAAATGTACATCTTCCCCAAGGATGAGGTCCTAGGGCCATGCAGAAAGGGGGAGGTGGCCAGGGAAAATATCCTGAGGAAGAGAGGAGCTGCTTCAGTGGATTCCAGGGATGTCAGCAAATGTTCATATCCAAAGCAAGTTAGGGGGCTTCCCTGGTGGCACAGTGGTCAAGAATCCACCTGCCAATGCAGGGGACACGGGTTTGAGCCCTGGTCTGGGAAGATCCCACATCACGGAGCAAACTAAGCCCATGCGCCACAACTACTGAGCCTGCGCTCTAGAGCCTGCGTGACACAACTACTGAAACCCGCGTGTCACAACTACTGAAGCCCGCGCACCTAGATCCCGTGCTTTGCAATGAGAAGCCACTGCAATGAGAAGCCCATGTGCCACAACAAAGAGCAGCCCCCACTCGCCGCAACTAGAGAAAGCCTGCACGCAACAACAAAGACCCAAGGCAGCCAAAAATAAATAAATAAATTTATAAAAACCAAACAAACAAATAAAGCAAGTTAGGGAGTCACAGATTTAAACTACAAGTCACCACTCTCTCCATCCATATCAATTGTCAAGGCATCAGCTATCTAGTAGATTGTCTGAACTAAACCTTTACTTCATTTTCCTTCAGCTTTATTTCTGACACCTCCTGTTAATACCTACAAAAAGTGCACAGAGCCTAAAGGGTAAGTTAGTTCTCATCTCAGTTAGATAGCAAATTAGATATCTGCACAAATAATTATTAACCTCTTGCCTACCTCTTAAATGTTGGTGTTCCCTGGAGTTCTGATCCCAACCCTTTTCTCACCTCATTCACACCTGTTGCTTCACTGGTAAGCAAGTTAGATCTCTCTTCTGAATGTGAGACCCATGTATAGATTATATTATATGTGACATTTCCATATCCCATAGTTATGGCCTCCAAAACTTTAAAATTGTATATAAGTAAATATGTTGAGCATGCCCTTCAAAATGCACATTTATTTATAAACCATATAAATGTACTACGATCAGTCTGTATACTGGTAAAGCTTTTTTTGTTTTTGGGTTTTTTAGGCTATGTGGTGTGGCATGCATGCGGGATCTTAGTTCCTCGACCAGGGATTGAACCCATGCCCCCTGCATTGGGAGTATGGAGTCTTAACCACTGGACTGCCAGGGAAGTCCCGCTTTTTTGTTTTTAAGATAAAAATATTTTCTTCCCACGTCCCCATGGACCTCCTTATACATCAACTAGGGTATGAGTACTGTAATTTAGAGACATCTTCCATAGGCATCTTAGTCAGTATAATATAAAATTAAGAGTTCAGGCTCTGGAATAGATTGCCCATGTTACTGTGAACAGGTAACCTTTCCTCTCTAAGCCTAAGTTTCCTTATCTGTAAAACAGATAATAACAGTACCTACCTCATTGAGTATTGTCGTTTAATAAAGACTTTGTCTGGTCATGAGCCCCTTGAGTCATACCTGAATTTATGCTAATTAGGTGACTCATGGTGGGCTCCTAGGTAGCTTCAGGATGTGGCTAGTCATGCCAGAAGACCAGCCATGTGATTAGACTTTCGGGGAGGGGAGTAGGACTGGAGATTGAGTTCAGTCATGTGGCCAGTGATTCAGTCAATCATGCCTACATAATGAAGCCCCAGTAAAAACTCTGGACACTGAAGCTCAGTGGAGTTTCTTGGTTGGTAAACACACGGATGTGCTGGGAGGGTGACATGCACCAATTCCATAGGGCGATATATATATATTTTTTTACACAGGGCGAGATTTTGAGTTTGGGACCCTCCCACACCTTACCCTATGTGTCTATTTGGTCCTGATTTGTATACTTTACAATAAAACTGTAATTGTGAGTATGGTGCTTCCCTAAGTACTATAAGTTCTTCTAGTGAAATATCAAACCTGAGGAAGTCTTGGGAAACCTTGAATTTGTAGCCAGTTGGTCAGAAGTGCAGGTGGTCTGGGAAACCCCAATGGCAGTGTCTGAAAGAAGGGCGGTGTTTTCGGGAACCATGTCCTTAAACCTGGGGCATCTGATGTGAGCTCCACGTGGTTGACATCAGTATTGAGTTGTCCTGCAATACACCAGGTGGTGTCCAAGTAGGTATTAAGATTAAATGAGATAATGATATATAAAGCAGAGTGACTTTTACATCATAAGCACTCATTGTATGTTATTACTGTTTTATCCAATATGTACTCATCCTCTCACCAAACCTGTTCTTTCTTCTTCATTCTTTTTTTTTTTTTTTCAGTACGTGGGCCTCTCACTTTTTTTGCCTCTCCCGTTGTGGAGCACAGGCTCCGGACGCGCAGGCTCAGCGGCCATGGCTCACGGGCCCAGCTGCTCCGCGGCATGTGAGATCCTCCCGGACCGGGGCACAAGCCCGTGTCCCCTGCATTGGCAGGCGGACTCTCAACCACTGCGCCACCAGGGAAGCCCCTTCTTCATTCTTTTTATGTGTGAAAGGCAAACCTTTCATCTGGTTGCCCAGACCAGAAACCTAGGAGTCATCCTTGATTCTTCCTTCCTTACTTTTCCCAATCACTTAGTTGCTGAGTCCTCAGTATTTCTAGAATCCATCTCCTCTCTGTTGCCATTGCCACTGCCTTAATTCATATCCAATTCATCATCTAATTGGCTTCTGCCTTTTTTCTCCCTTCCTTTGCAAATCATCTCTAATCATTTTCCTTTTCCTCTTAACACTTTCTTCATGGTGATATAAATATGCATGGAAAATAGTTCATAAAGCTTAAATGACCAGATTAACAGTTGTAGAATGAACACCTGTAATTATGGGTCAAGAAGTAGAATATTACAGGCATCCTGGAAGCCTCCAGGTTTCCCTTTCTGATCATATTCCCCTCCCTTTTTCATAGGTAACCACTGTTCTGAATTTTATGATAAGAGTTTTCCTTGCCTTTATAGTGTGACAGTCTGTTTAGTATCCCTAAACAAACATTTTCATATTGCCTGTTTCTGATCTTTCTGTACAGCAGGCATCTTTTTTTTTTGGCTGAGTGGCATGTGGGACCTTAGTTCCACAACCAGGGATCGAACCCACACCCCCTGGATTGGAGGCGTGGAGTCTTAACCACTGGATGGCCAGGGAAGTCTCCCAGCAGGCATCTTTTAGATGCTGTTCTGACTGTTACTCCCCTGTTTAAACCCTTCACTGGCTCACTTCGTCTTTTTACTCCTCAACTAGCAACCATATAAATCTATTGGGGGATTTGTTTTATATCAGTTTAACTAAGCTGTTACTGTGTTTTCCAGAATTCCCTTCCCTGCATAGTTCCAGGTTAGCTTGGCCATGAGAGACATTTTACTTGAGATTTGAAGGTGAAAGTTGAAGCAGGAGCTGCCAAATTCTTTTTGCACTTGGAAGGCTTGGTGCAGAGCACCAGGTGCTATTACAGCTTGTGTATGTTGTTGTTTATCTGCTGGCTCACCTCGCTGTTGATGGGCAGCAGTCAGGCCCACAAATCCTTCAGCTCCTTCTGGATCTCCTCCATTAGCTTTTCTGGTTCCTGGGCCAGGTGTGGATTAGCTCCATGATAGAGGGTGCCAGCTTTTCCTAAAGGTCATGCCATGATCAAGGTTGGAGTCAGCAAGACTCGGACTCAAGTTTCCATTTGTCTTTGTGGGTTCCAGCTCACCCTTGCAGATTCTAGTTTAGTTTTCTTTCCCAATTGCTGCCTTGTTACCTTCAGGTGCCAGCATTAGAAATACAACCAACAACCTAACATGGACTGTTTAGCCAGCTCCCCAAATTGCTTAAGGTCATATCTCTATAATAAATCCCTTTTTATATATCACTGCTAGTAGTTTTCCTTCTCTGATTGAACCTGACGGATCCAGAATTTGGTATTGGAAGCTTCCAGAGGAATATAACTCTGAGCATTGGTTCTCTGAATTGGTTCTGGGTTATCTGGAGTTGGTTCTCTGATCTGATTATATTTAAAGGTATTAATGGGCTTTTTTTTTTTTTCTCCTCCAGTGGCAAAGAGTATGCTAGCAGTCCATGGCATGTGGTAGCAAAACATTAAAAACATTATCACCTTGCAGATACCCTTAATCAGGTGCCTGTAGAAAGCAAGGCTTTGGGTGGTCAGGTATTTATTGTCATAGAACATTTAGTGGAAATAAGGAGTGTAATAAGATTAGTAACTTTTAAGTGTGCTGGAGAACTTGGGAAAACTATACGATGGGCTCATGGCTTTAAATTCCTAGCTCAAGGTCTTGTGAGGGACCTGAAAGCTTTATGACTTTCTAAAAAGAAACTCTTAACTCCCGTAGCCTTGAGACTGGTATTTTCGAAAAATGTACACAGGGGCTAATCCTGTGAGTGACTAATCACAACACAAGTTAAATTCCCAAACTCATAACACCTCTTACGTTAAAGTTTAGGGCATTGGGGACTTCCCTGGTGGTCCAGTGGTTAAGACTCCACACTCCTACAGCAGGGGGCAGGGGTTCGATCCCTTGTCAGGGAACTAGAGCCTGCATGCTGCAACTAAAAAAGACCCTGTATGTCGCAACGAAG